TTTGCTTTGCTTTGCTTTGCTTTGCTTTGCTTTGCTTTGCTTTGCTTTGCTTTGCTTTGCTTTGCTTTGCTTTGCTTTGCTTTGCTTTGCTTTGCTTTGCTTTGCTTTGCTTTGCTTTGCTTCTTCTCTGGAATATGATTGAAAAGTTTTTGGAAAGTTAGGAAATGTGCTGCACGACATGAGCCTCACATACGGGAGTCATACATTCTCGGGCTTTTGGCTATGATCAAACTGATTTCTCTCCAACTGGAGACTTGCCTGTGACATCAATTTCGTTGGGGAATTGTCTTCTTGAACTTGCTCGGAAGCTTTCACGTGTTGCGCTGGCACTTAGCTAGCAGCAGCACTCCCTCTGGGGCAACTGCTCGCTTCTCACCTTTCATGCTGCTGGCGTGCTGCTGGCACGCTGCCAGCGTGGTGTGGGATGCTGTTGGCGTGCGTGGCGCAGCTGTGCTTGCTAGGCCTTGCTCGGAAATGCAACGTGCAGACAGGCTTTTGTCAGGAACCGTGGTTGTGCGCTGCGCTGAAAGTTCAGACCATGTTTCAGGCGTTGCTCCAGGCATCATGTTGCCCGCCCTCTTCATCCTTGCGGAAGGGGCAATAGCCCTGCCAGTGACACTTAGCGGAGGTGCGCTGTTTGCTAGTTGAAAGCTACTCCAACTCCCGTCAAATTTGATCGTCAAGGTCATTCTTGCAAGTTGTTATGCGGGCTTCAGCCTAACTGCCACAGTTTCCAACCGAGAACAAAATGCTGGTCTTGGCAGCAGCTTGCTGCTGCGCCGAAAAGTGAGGAAGGTTATAACTACGGATACTTATGCGTGGGACAACAGGAGGTCCCTGAAACATATAAGGGGCGAAATTATTAGAAGGGGGGGGTACCTCAAAACCAAGCTTAGTCACGATAGGGAAATAAATTGTTAATCATTTAGCCCCTTACATTACAAATTTTAACCCAGGCTAAAGATCCAACAGACACGCTGGCCTTCACCCCACACCCATCAAGGGAACTGTTCGCTTGGTTTCCCTCAAAACAACAGTGAAGAAGGCGCCATCCAGAACAGCGAGCGCGCCTGCATGTCATTATTTTGGCAACAACGGCTGATGGTGAAAACTCACTGTTGCTCACTGCCCACCTCTGCATTTCTGTGCATCAGTCGTTGCATCGCGCTGGTGTCTTCATATCAAGCCCGGGGCCCGAACTCTAAGCAACACTTTGGATGCCAAATCCAACTGTGGAGTTAACCTGTTGTTCCCTTGTTTCAGCAACCATGTTACAACAGTCCCAGCTTCAAACCCAGCTGCTCTTGCACCTGGCTGCTGTCTCCGCCATTTTCTGGACGACCCCAGGTCACAACAGCCCCAAGTATTCAAGAATGGCAGCAAACACACCGCTAGTTGCTTGGATGCGCTGGACATGCCTCAGCTGCTCTTCCACCTGGCTGCTGTCTCCGCCCCAGCCCGGACCACCCCAGGTAGCAACTGCCCCTGATTCAAGAATGGCAGCAAAAGCTCTGTGAGTTGCTTGGACGTGCCGGACGTTCCTCAGCTGCTCTTGCACCTGGCAGCTGTCCCCGCCAAATTCGCCATATTCTAGCTCACCCCAGAACACAACAGCCCCTGATTCGAGAATGGAAGCAAACGCAGAGCGAGTTGCTTGGATGTGCTGGACGTTCCTCAGCAACTGCCCCTGATTCAAGAATGGCAGCAGAAGCACTCTCAGTTGCTTGGATGTGCTGGACGTTCCTCACTGGCTGCTGTCCGCCCCAGTCTAGACCACCCCAGGTAACAACTGCCCCTGATTCAAGAATGGCAGCAAACGCAGAGCGAGTTGCTTGGATGCGCTGGACATGCCTCAGCTGCTCTTCCCCCTGGCTGCTGTCTCCGCCCCAGCCCGGACCACCCCAGGTAAAAACTGCCCCCGATTCAAGAATGGCAGCAAAAGCACCTTCAGTTGCTTGGACGTGCTGGACGTTCCTCAGCTGCTCTTGCACCTGGCGCTGTCCCCGCCAAGTTCTGGATCACCCCAAGTCACAACCTCGTCTCCACCGCTGTCAAAAGCGAACGCGCCAAGAGTGGCCGCTAGTTTGTCAAGCTGCACAACTGCAGTCACCGCGTCTCCATCTCTCAGCCCAACTTAGCGTGGCGGTCAAATCGAGCTGCCGCCCTTTTGCAGTGAGCTTCAAGCAGCGCTGGAAATGCTGCTGTGCTGCAGCCTTCAGCTTGCTGATGCGCGTCTCCGGCGAGACCTCTACAGAATAACCATCTCCACTGGGCAAGTGAACATCCACCTTCATAGCGCAGGAGGGTTCGCATTTAAGTTGCTAAACACGAACCGGAGACGCAAGAACATTACTTGTTGTTTTGTGTGTTGTTCTTTTGCTTTGTTTCTGTGCTTTCTTGGCTTGTGTCTTTTCTCTTTTGGGGAGGTCCGGTCTTGAATGTCATTTACAGGGAGCCCAACTATTTGCAAGATTCAAATCCTTCCACACAAAGAACACGTTCCTCATGATCTTCATTGGTGTGTTTTAAATTAGGGGAACCCCCAAAATGGTGTTCCTTGTAACAGAACCCCAAAAGGAGTACCAACTCAAAAAAGAGACACCCTCATGGATCTTAACCTATCCCCCACAGGGGCCTCACTGGCTGAACCTGGCAGTGCTTGAGCTGAAGCCGCGAGATCGAGATCGAGATCGGCGATTCGAGAAATCGGACAACTCAAAGGTTTAACTGATAATCAAAACCCGGTATGGTCTACCCAGAACCATGCTTCAAGAATTGAAATGGATGTCCGCACCCATGAATATGTATGGGATTCTCGGTTTTTCCTCACTTTTGGCCCCGTCGTACCCCTTAAGGCGAACTCCAAGGAGTGGGTACTGGCGGGAGGGGATGACGGGTCCATCAGCGCACCTCATGTGTCGTTGGCATTTGGTCCAGGGATCGATCAACCGGACCCGAGGAATGATGGGTCGCAGCTTTGTGGGATACGAATTTCCCTACAAACCCAAGCGATGATAACTTGGATGATACTTGTACTTCTAGGGAAACCGGCCGGCAGAGCTGATGCTACACTGCGGGCATCAGTTAGTTGGAGACTCTGCTCTGTGCTTCTCGAATCTTGTGGATCCTATGGCTGCGGCCCTTGAACGGACGGGGTGTGGAGAGAAAAAGGGGGCAGGGCGCTAGTCAGACTTGACTTTATTGACGGGTTGCCGCACCGATTCCCCGTGACCGTCCCTTACTAACCTAAGGATTCTGCCAATTTTACCGCACTCTAAGGTGTGCAGGGGTGTGCGGGAAAGCAGGCTCGCCGCCAAAAACCGGCCCACCTCGTCAATGAGCACACTCTGAATCTGCAAATCTTTGAACGCGCAAATGTAGGCATTGGAAAGGACGGGTTCCTGCGCGGCATTTGAAGCGGTGCAAGGCTCCCAAACGCCAGGCTAGAGGGCGCATGTACCCCCCCAAACAGCCCAAAGGACCCAATACACGAAGCTCGCCAATAAATGATGAGACTTGGGCGCGAACTTACAAATCAAAGGACGTAAACAAAAAAGGGGAGGATCAATGAGAGGTACCGATGACATGTGGAAATAGAGAGCCTCACCTGTTTCAATATTCCAGGCTCTGGCAATATCTTTTCCTGCAGGTGCTTGATCAAAAACTAATGATCGAACAGGCAATAGTAGTAACTGGAAGAGCGGCTGTAGTCAAACAGCAATCATTGAGGGTAGTCTCTGTGAGCCTTCGCCGCAAACTTGAAAGAAAGAAACTGGAGGGGGGCGGGGAAGAACACTGCTGTCTGATGCTCCATTGTCCGAAAAAGGGGGGCTGCGGTTGCATATCCCCAGGGCTCAACAGTTCTCAATACCTTGTGGTTGTCTGTCAGGCTGCATCTTTTCATTAGGGTTATGTTGGAAAGCTGCGTCTTCGGATTTGGGTCAACGGTAGGGTTTCCTGCCTGACACTGGGCACTGCTCTAAACATGTACGACTGACGGTATCCTGCAAGCTGAAAGCAAACCGCCAAAATCCAAACCTCCAAACATCCCTTCAAGAGTGAAACCTGAACCAGAATCTACGGCAAGACTTCTAAACTTCAATACAAAGCTTGTGCCTCGGTGTATGCCTGGGACTTGTTCGACACAAAAGCCCAGTCCTCTGGCTGCAAGCCTCGAACCTCGGCCACTGGAAGCCAGACATCAGATCCAAAATTCCAGTTCATCCAAGTCTCAAAACATCTGGATCTCAAAACACCCGAAAGTGACTTTCCGAAGGCGACAAAAATGGACTGCGCCTGCGACGTGGGCCACAAGCCCAAGCCCGAACACCCTTGTTTGGGCCAGCGATCGGCAAATGTCCCATGTTTGCCCCTTGTAGGTGGCTCGGCCTGTTGAACACAAGCAACATGCTGGGTCAACATGGCCTTGCTGCGCTTCGAATAACGGCTTTTGAGCGATATCCATCTACTCCAAGTCAGTGTAAAACTCAGCGCCGCCGAGTCGCAACAACAACGGAGAAACAAGCTTTTGCAATACGAAGAAGCAAATGTGTTGAAAGTGCGCAAAACCCTCGCTCCCCTTTGCCAGAAACTGTTCCGACAAAAGCCTCCCAATGGGCAAGATTCAAAACTCCCCATGTTGTTTTCCTATTTTGTTTGGGGGGGAGCTAGCCAACCATCCCAAGCTCTGAAGTACCCAGTCAAGACAAACATGGAGGATGCCTCGTTCAAGTCACCTCTTTTCGGGGAGAAAACTGCATACCACAAGTGAGCAGCGTCCAAAACCCAAAGTTGGGTGCCAGGGTCCAGCCAGGCCTTGCTATTAACCCAAGTGCACCTGCCACATGCGCATGCCAAACTCGAATAACAATCCGGCATGGCCCGCTACCAGCACAAACGGTGCCCCAAGCAGTGCTGCTGGCCCCCTTCCGTCAAATCACTTCAAGAGTCCTCACATGTTTCCCCGTGCGTTGCACCATTTGAGGCGATTCAAGGGACGAAGCATCCCTGACTCTTGGATCCGCGCTATGTACATCCGCGTCTTTTCCATGATGGCGAAGAGGTCTGGGTTGTCGCTGGCCCATCTCATGTTCCACACCTCAGATCTCTTCTGAAAATAAGCAGCCCCCGCCTGGCACCGACCCCTTTGATCAAGGGGCAGAATCCTGAATCCACAACCAAGGAAGATTGGCAGCACAAGTTTCTTCACTCCCCTACAATCCGTGAGGACTCCATGATGACAGCTGTCAAGCCTGGAACCTTCGGTGGGCCTTCTCAAAACCCGAGTCTCGGTAGCCCGGCATCCTTTCGCTCAAAGTCCAGCTGCTTCCCTGGCCCGTCCTGCATGCGGAATCTAAGGCTTCTAAGGCCAATGGATTGTGAAGCTTGCACCACGTGGAATGCCCAATCATTGTACGACGTGCAACTGGAAAATCTGGCGAATCACAAGATCTACCGGACATCCTTCTTGGGGAGGGATGACAAACACTCAGGAGTATGAGGGCTGAGACACAGCAATGACAGCAATAGGATCCATAATAGCCGTTGACAGGAACCTCAACGTGAGACAAACACCCAGATTAAGAAAGAAACAAAAAACGGAGAAAAAAAAAGCTGGAAATTGCAGTTTCTATCATGTTCCATGCCGCGCTTCTATCGCAGCTGGATCGCATGAAACACCCAATTGCTTTGCTCAATCAATGGTGAAGAGTCATCAGCCTGATCACTTGCAGACTTAAAAACTGACCATGTGATGATACTCAACTGCACAAGTTTCTCATCTTTAAGGAGCCTGCGATGCTAAAATGCTGGGCCACCATGAGTCTGTGCCAAACACATACGTGGAGCTCCAGCCGGCCCGACCCACTCTTTTGGTCCGCTTCGCAGCGAGGTAATGTGCTCTGCACCAAAAGCGTGGCCTCTATTTGTGAGGCCTGGGACGATATCATACTGCGTCGAGTATTTGAGGCCAACGGGCCATCCAACAGAGCAGGACTTTGAAGAAACAAAAGGCCTATCTTATCACTTTTGGCATTGAAAGCTGCTAGCTCACCAAAATGAAAAAAGGCACCCCCAATGAAAGGAACATTCGTGATGGGGTACAATGCATCTGGACGCTTTCAGTGACGCCTCTCAGGCGACAAAGGGGGCTATTGACCTTCTCAGCCATCAGGTTCAGGCAGCCACGGGCATGACCTAAAGCGCACCGCTCGGGTTGCCAGAATGCCTGCCCTATCCGGAGGGGTGAAAACAAAAACAACTTGTAAGAACCAACATCCGGCCAAATCATGACCAAAATAAGCTCTTGCGGGGTGGTCTTTTGGGGTTTTTCGGGGTCTCTCACCTGGGCAGCCGAGGCAGTGGCCGGGCTGGTCTTCAGCTGGATGAGCAAGGACCTGGCAGCGCCAGAGGAGGCGAACCAAGAGCTGGGCATGTGAACTTCCGGCTTCAACTCGTGTCTTTTTTTTTGGAGACCGACACAATGGTTGGCTTCCTGGTGGCTCTTTCCCTTCAAGACCAACTAACAAAAGGAAGTCCCCCCAAAACAAACAAGAGGAGAGAGACAGACCCAACTGCCATAATCCCAGCCCTCGCGGGTCCCGTGAAGAAGGGATGTGGAAGATTCGCCGTGATAGCCCTTCTTGGGTTACAGCGACATCAAGCAAAAAAAGACGTCCAAAGCAAACAGCGGCCGCTCGAGTGAAGGACTCTGCCTGAGGCGGGAGGTATCGCGGCTGTCCTTGCGTGAGCTGTGTGCCCTCCCATCGCTCGCTGCCTTTGTCGTGGGCTTCTTTGGCTGGGTTTAAAGGAAGGCGCTACTCTCATTGTGAGACCAACCCATGTACCCCATGAGTTTTAAAGGTTCGGAAACAACAAGTCAAGCCCCACAAATTACCAAACCCTGACCAGAATATTGAATATACTAGTTTCGCTGCCTGTTCTTTGGTCATAGAAGGCAAATCAACGCGTCATCAGTGAAGTCATGCCACTTCTGCAGACAGTAGACGGGGCCTAGTCTATCTTGTAAGGACAAAAAGATTGCCCTGTTCTTTCTTGCAAGTGTCTCGTAAGCCTCTCTTTCATCTGATGCTGCACCAGAAAGCGTGCAAAAACCTTGGCTCTCAGAAAAGCAACATGCCTGTCCTCACCAGGCTTGGCGTTGGTGTCGATGAGATCGCAAACACCTCGGGAACCAAGCTGTCAACAAGGACAAAAGCAAGTCTCGGCCAGTCCATAGAACTTGACACAGATATCATGCTGCCCTTAGTTCGTCATTCGGATTGGTGGTTTGCTGTTCCAGGTTTTGGTCTCTTCCTTGGGGTTGCTTGAGGCCAGATCCCCTCCACCTAACCTCCCCCTGCTTAACTCCTCTGCAATTGTACACCCAGAATCCGTGCGCGCGCACTTTCTCAAATGCTGCCAAACGCATTGCGCGGGGGTAAGGCCGCGCTGGCTTCAAGCACGGCTTCACGCGCCTTCACACTCCAAACCACAGAAAGAAAAAAACGCGCGAAAGCCATCTTGCAGTTGCGCTTCTGCACCCTGAAGCCGAAAAACGATTAACGAGCCCAATGCCACAAACAGCCAAAACCCCAAGCCGCACCCCAAAACCCCAACGTCCCTCCCCACGTCCCCCCCCCAAAAAAAAACAACACGCCCACCTCCCCTTCACCAAGCTGCGCTCCCACGGGTTTGCGCCCGGCTTCAGCGCCTGGGCTCACTGAAAAACCCCCCAGCCTTGAAATGGGACACCTCGTGGTTCGTTGATCCCTGGCTAAAATGTCAAAACCGTTGTGGGCAATATGTAAAAAAGAAAAAAAGAAAAAGAAGAAACAAAGAAGAAAACAAAAAAAAAAAAGGAAAATGGGAAAAAAAAACAAAAAAAAAAAAAAAAAAAAAAAAACGATCGCGTGAGACAACTTTCCAAATATCCAACAAGCCTTTCTAAGGCGTATCTAGGGGTATGACTGCAAGCCGCCCAATGGAATGTATCTCTTTGGGAGAGGATAAGGTAGGAACACAAGCAAGCCTTTCGGGGTATGAAAAAGGGTATTTACATACACCCCTAGATTTGAGAGTGCTGCTATTCGATGTTACAGGAAATCGAAAGCAGCCAACCAGTCGTACCAAAACACATCCATGCGATGCTAAGCAAGTACCCCAAACTCGCCATCTTTCGATCTGGCCGGGCTGTGCTATCTTGTGTCATGTTCTGTTGTGGTAAGGTTGCTTCAGCTGGAGCGAGCCTATGTCCTAGGCTATGTCAAGCTTTGTCTAAACTCCTGGCACATCCGAAAAGCGAACTGCAATCTACCTCAAGTATATAACCCTTAGTTGGTGGTTTGGATTTGTGGTTTGGATATACCTCTGGTTCTTGTAGAGGGTACACGGGGAACCCTAACCACCAAACCACCGGGCTGTAGGGGAGTGGTGGGTAAAGAACACCCTCCTATGCCGAGGCATACGAATCCACATGTAAAAAAAAGGCTTCTCTACTTTGATGTTCGGCCAAGTTGGTAGGTCGCTGGCCACCTGGAATATAACCCACTAACAGGGTTAACCACTGAACAGGGGTCCTATTAGCTGGTTATAACCCATGTTCCTGTTACAACTTACCAACTTGGCCGAACATCCAAGTATTCTCCAAACCTCTTGCTTCGGTTCATTCAGGACTGCATAGGGAAGGACTGCATGCATGGCTGAAAACGCTATACGCACATGTATATGCATATAATATATATATATATATATGGACCCCCCCCCCAACGAAAAAAAGCTACCTTGTTTTCAGTTTTAGCTGCATGTTGCCGCTCAGCAAGAAAACAAACATAGCATTGCCAGTGTGTACTCTCCACTACAAACCATCAAGAAGTAGCATTTCTGGCTCTAATTCTAGATCTTTCGGGAGATGTGCAACACAAACACTAAACACACACTTTCCAGCCAGCCATGGTGGAGGGGCAGGATTGTGGGTTTGTTCCTGATTTTCTCCTTTGTGTAACATGTCCCAAATGTTGCACACCTTGTTGGCCAACATGGTGGCAATCAACCAAACAACACACACAAAAAAGCCAAGACAACTAAAAACAACAAACAACAAACAAGGGACACAACTTTCCAGCTATGGGGGGAGAGTGTGTTCTTGTTTTTCGGCTTTTTGGTCCAGTAGCTGTGTGGTAACATTGGGCAACTTCGTAACATGTTGCGCAACATTTGGGCCAATTGTTGCGCAACATGCGGGTGCCAAGCCAAGCCACGAGCCTCGGAAACGATGCGCAACATGTGCGGCTCTTGGGGTGGCCGGAGATCGAGATGTTCGAAGAAACATCTCCGTGCAACTTGATTCGTGGGTCCAGCCTCCCAAAAACCAGTCGGTTTCTCCAGCAACGTTTTTCTTCTGTCACGGTCCCTTCTTGCTAGATCTAAGAGGTGCCCAGCCTGACCCTCACGTTTGAGGGAAAAATACATCACTGGGCAGTTTTGTTTTTGCCTGAGCGGACAAAAACAAGGTAGCCGGCTGTCTTGCCGCCCTTGCGAATATGCAATTGACATGCTGAACATTCCTGCGTTTTACAGTGTGTTCTGGCTTGTCTTACTTTGCGAGCTTCTGGAAAAAAGTGCATGGCAAAACTCAAACCCAGCCCACGTAAATCAGTGAGCGTGTGAAAGAAAACTGCCGTTTCCAAGTCACGAGCATGCGCCAGTGAGCAAGCGACAAGCGTAGCTGATATACAAGTATACAGAGCAAGCCATCAACGCAACATGCTGCTGCATGGCTACTTGCGTACGTACTGGCACATATGTTAACGTGCCCGTCCACGCACTGCATGGTTGCTTGCGTACATGCTGGCACATATGTTAATGTGCCCGTCCACGAGCTGCAGGCTTACATGCGCACATGCTGGCACATATGTTAACGCTCTACATACATGAGCTCACGGCGGGCTTCTCACGCCCGACTTGTCTCGTGTTGGCGGGGTCTCAGTTCAGACAACGTGGACGGGCACGTTAACATATGTGCCAGCATGTACGAACGCGTAAAAATGCCACAAATAGCAGTACATTTGCAAATTCCTGCACGAATTTCGCGGAAACACGGACCGAAACCTGCGTTTCGGGCTCATGAATGGCCAAAAAAGGAACGGGAGTTTGCACCCAAAAGCATGGAATGAACGCTGGCGTGGAAGGAAACAACTAAAAAAATGCAGAGTTTTTGAGAGTCCGCATCAAGAGAAGGGGCACAGGACAACGAAAAGTTGCCAAACATGGGGTTTGGGCGGCCGGTCAGCCGGCTGGCAAAAACAACGACTTGACACATGCTGAGAAGTACGGCATGTATC